TCGGTTCTCCCAACTGATCCGAATCCCTTGATCGTCGATACGTTGCATTCACGCGAGTACGCGCGTACACATCGTTCGGACAATCTCGCATTACCTTGCATTGCACTACACACATGTATGACATATGAATTGAAACGTAGCAATCATCACCCATAACAATCATTGTACACGCGGCGATCCCGACGGCCTGTCTCCACGATGGCAAGCACCCACCAGCAGCAAATCATGCAGCCAAATTATCATTCTAGGCGCAAAACTGGTTTGGATATTTATTTGGTCGTTACCTGTGACTTGGGGTTGCATTTGAGTTTAATTTAACCACTCAACCGAACATAAAGAAACTGTAGCGTAGCGTTGTTAATTACTCCCTCTGTCCCATAATATAAGAACGTTTTTGGCACTACACTAATGTCAAAAACGTTCTTATATTATGGGAAGGAGGGAGTAGTTTTTTCTAGAATAATACTTGTGTTGGTTGCCACTTGTTTAATTTCTTGAGCAAATATTTTTGAGTAAATTCCACTTCCACATTTTTTTTTCGAGAATGAATTTCAGTTCCACATAGTTTACCCAATTACAAGAAATTTGCACGCTATCACTTGTGAGCTTGGTGTGACCTTGTGACAATTTTTTCTATCATTTTTTCTCCGAACCAACAACGTGGACCCATGTGCGAGAATTACCCTGCAGCTGACTAGGCAGATGACTCAAGCCTGCATTCGCTAGCGGTAATGGTGTGGTGCAGCTAACCGCACTTGTGTCCTCTCACCAGGTGAGTAGGGCAAAGCTCTTGTCACATCGAGCCTGGCGGCCGGTGGTGGGGAGGGGAATCTTGGTGCCTCGCTCCAGCTAGTCCTCGCGGGTGTGGCGCACTAGCGGATGGCGATGTTTCATCTTTGAGTCGGTCTTCCGTTCTCCGATCTCCTCTAGTTGTACATCGGGAGGATCGGACGGAGCTCCAGCAAAGATTCTTGCCGGTGGCCTTGGGTCGACAAGGTTAGGGTTTCTTGTCGTTTGATTTCAGATTTTTCGGATTGATTTAAGGCTTCAACGGTGACGCCTATGGCTCTGAGGCGTTAGTTCCTAGGGACATGTGCAAGAAGACTTCTCGGTTGTCATCAAAAAGGTTAGGCCGGCACCGATATAGGAGCGACAATATATGCGCGTCGGCGGCTCATTCTGATGGCGACTATGGTTAGTAAGTGGTTCAGGTACCTTGATGTAATTTTCGTTATCTTTGAGGTGCTTCCTATCTCCGATGAACCTTTATAATAGAGCTAGATCTTTTCAAAAAAAAAATTGTCACAATGTAAAAAGTGGAAGTTCTGCTTAGACAATTTTTTTGAATGCATAGACAAATATCTTGAAAAGGAGACCAGTGGGCCGCAGAGATTGACATATAATGAGATGAAACAGAGACACTTAGGCTGGTCATAGTGGGGAGTAACTTAGACTAGTAACATGCATATGTTATTAGTCTATGTTACTACCTTCATAGTGGAGAGTAACATATGGATGGTAACTTGCAAGCCTTCATTAATTGAGATATAGACTCATTTTGCCTCGGGGTGTGTTATGTTACAGTAACATATTATGTTACCACAAGCATCTCTTTCTTCATTAACTTCATGCCACATAAGCAATTGTTACTTGGGATGTGTTATGTTACTACCTAAGTTACTCCCACTCTGGCTAGCCTTATTGGTTACTCGTTCAAAGCACGCAGTACGATATGGAGCAATCAATCGCTAGAAATAATTCGATCTCTATCTCTCTAGCTTTAAGTAATACTAACAACCAGTACACAAAAAAGCGCCAAAACCGTGCATAGACCTAGTGCTTTGCACGCTGTCCTGTCACGTATGCTACATTGCCATTTTTCTCTCACTTCGCTTTCTGAAACTTTAGCCCCAGCGCTTCAACACCAATTTCATGAAGGACAATCTTGTCTAGCTCTTAATTGTACTTATTCTCTCCAAGCTAGTTGCACTCTATTTATTTACTGTATTTGAGTATGTAAAATTGTTGTGTTTTCACACACATACATGGTTCGTTTTCCAAATTATATTCTGTACTATTGTACCCATATTCTTACATGTTTTGATTTATGTATGCCAAATGTGTTATGCACACGAATTTTTGCGCCGATATAGAGCTTACGAGTTAGGGTAGCCATCTGATTGGATCTAACGGATCAAGAAATTTTAGTTGATATTTCGGAAAAAAAAATCACCCAATAGAAGATAGCGACTCTTTACATATTTATAATAACTCTTTACAACCTCTCTAATAAAATTATGATAAATTACGGACATTGATTTCTGTTCCCGAGCTCAAATCACCGGTAAAAAGAAAAGAAAAGAACAACAAAATCCAAAAAAGGAGTAAAACAAAATTTAAAAATATCAACCTTTTGTCGATGAACATCACGTATGTTCTAACATCCACCTACAAAAAGATATCCGTGCAGGCCTGAATAAGAAAACACCTTCTTAAATTGCACAACCTATTTCACTCGATGCTACGTATCTATGTCATCCGATGCTACGTATTTTAGTCATGACGTTTCTATTCATGTCCCCACAAGACATATTTGTATAAACTCTTGTGGTTGTCGTGGCATTTCCTCGAAAATCACAAAAATGATCCCGGGTTCACAAACCTGCAAAGAGGAGAAGAAAAAAATACGTAGCAAAACCAGATATCCTTATTTTATCTTATTTTGCGAGAAAACTTTCGATCTATTTATCTTCAATCATGGCAGTACAACGGACACCATAAATAATAAAAATTACATCCATATCCTTCGACCACCTAACGACGACTACAAGCACTGAAGCGAGCCGAAGACGCGACGCCGTCATCGCCTCTCCCTCGCATCAGAGCAGGCCACAGGACCAGCGCGCCGGAACAGCAAATGCCGCTGATGAAGAAATATGTGTAAATACCGGAGGGTGGCATGGCAAACGTGCGACCAACCACGCATCCGGCCGGGGGCGGGGTGAGTGAGTGGCACGCGCGGTGAGACCAGGCCAGACGGTCCGTCCCTTCCGGATCGGCTCCCCGGTCGCTTTTGGAGCCAGCCAACTATAGGCAAGCCAAGCCACGCCACCACGCACGGTAGGAGAGAGAGAGGGAGAGCAACGCCAACGTACCAACCGTTGGGAGGGATCCAACGTGCTCAGCTCTCCTCATCTTATCCACCCTACTTCAGACTTCCTCCTGCCAAACACTAGCATAGGATTCTACTACAACTAAAGAGAAAAAAAGAATCACATAGTAGCATGGTAACCTATGAAAAAGGCCAGTCTTGTGTGTGTGTGATAACTCCAAACAAACAACTTGCTCCGAGCTGGATTTTCCACCTTGGATCCGTCAATTTGTTACTTTCATCTCCGCAATACAACTTTGACCGCTAGTACTTTTCTACGACATGACTATAGATAACAATGAAGATCGATTAAATATGAAGTTACTCAAGTAGTGATTTAAACCGCTCTCATATTACTTTACAGAGGGAGTACTAAATTACGCTCGTAAGAATATGATGACCACACAATTCTCATCCTCACTTTCGCAGTTTAGGGCGGTGGGGGAAAATCTTCTCCCGCGGTCGAAGTTTCGAGGGGGTGTGTGTGTGTTTGCGCGCACAAAACCTGCACACGCCCTACAGACCCGTAGAGAGGGAGTATTTACATCGAGAGGGAAGCGCGGCGTAGCTTGGGCGGGCGCGGAATTTCCTTTTTAACCTAGGAGTACATGCGCGGGACGACAAATATATAACCGCAGAAGATCCTTGTCCTCCCACGGTGAAGTGGATCCCCTGCCTTGGAAGTCAAATGCAAAGTTACCCCTTGTCCCCCCACTCTCACTGACAGCAAGATCACTAGATCAGGACAAGAAAAATATTTAGAACGACTAGTAGGGTGATAAACTCCACCGCAATAAAGGCATTTCACACTGCAATAAACTACTCCTACTAGAAAAAGGGAAGCAAGTCAGCAGAGCCATCAAAGGGGGGCGGGGCGTGGCGACGACGGTGGAGGTGGTGGAGCACACTGGCAGCCAGCCAGCCAAGGATCAGACCCTCCCTCCCTCCCTCTCTCCCTCCTTTCGATCTCAACTTACACCCGACGCCAACTCCAAGGCAAGGGCAGAGAAGGAGAGCAGAACCCTGCACCTTTCCACCTTCCCTCTCCCCCGTCCCACCACCTCACCTCCGCTCCCCCACGCACGCGACCGCACGGGGTGCAGGGCGAGGAGGAGGACGGGATCCGTCCGTTGCTTCTCACGGCCGCCTCCGTTCCGTGGCCTCCACCGCGCCCGCCGTCCGTCCGTCCCCGAAAGCAACGCCTGATCGGATTCTCCGCGACGGCCACCACCGACCTGCAGCAGGTACCGCTACTTAGCTGCCTCTCTGCTCCCCGCTCCTCTGTTCTTTCCCCTGCTTCTCGGGCGCTCCTCCTCCCGGCTTGTTTGGTGGTCTCTGCCCCGTCCTACACGCCCTGCGTGCGTGCGTGCGAATGGATGAGCGGCGGGCTGGGCGAGCCATGCGTCCGATTTGATGCGATTTGGTTCTCAAGAACTTGGTCAGGTGAGAGGAGGAAGAAAGCCCCGATCTTTCCCAAGAGATTTCCGTGGGTGGGTGGGTTCTTCTCGGGTTCTGTTCTGATTTGCTGCCCCTGTTAATTGTTTTATTCGGACGAGTTGACCCGCCATTCTCGTTCAATTTCTGCACTGAACTTGTTCATCAGCTGCAGCAGTTTCCATCCAAGCCATGTTTGTCTTCCTACAGTAGAATAAGTGAATACCCATTCAAGCCACCCATGTTGCACCATCTTGGAGACGCTGTGACCTTTTCGTCTCACCCCAAATAAATCCTGCGTAACTTACTCTCCTTTCCCTTTCATGTGATCCAGGCAAGGGAATTTTCAAAGCAATCTGAAGAACACACAAACTTCGTCTCCTGAGCTGAACTCCTGGTCGACGAAGAAGCAGCCATGGGGTCCGGGGACTGGTTCAAGACCATCATCAGCAAGAAGAAGTCGAAACGGGGCAAGTCAAAGCACGCAAAGGTACCACCCTACCTCCACTCACATCGTCCCGCTTTCATTTTTCTTCACCACGCTTTCGACAAGAGAAGAAGAATATTACCACCACCAATCTTTAACTCTCCCTTTACCCCAAACCCCCAAGCCATGCACACCCGACTCATCACGGCCTTGCACGCCTTCGAAGCAACCTCAGATGAAAGAAAAAGATGCCATCGATTTCATTCCACATCATATTCCATCATTATTCAGCAGCGAGGGCCGGGGCAGACAAACTACGCCGCTTTGGCAACTTGGTGACTTGTCGCCGTGGCAATCATAATGGAGGAAAGTTAGAAAGCTTTGGTTTGTTTTGCCGATGGCAATAATGGGAAAGGTGTCATCGATGCTGACTTGTAGCACAGTTTCTCTGTCTGAGTTAGGTGTTGGCCTGGATTCTGGGATGGGAACCATGCCTGCTTGCCTGCGTGTCTTGTGGAGTTTTGGTCAGCTACTGCTATCTGTATCTGACCTTGCCCACTGGCTTCACGACGTCTGAAATCGTCAGCATAGGTGTTGGATGTGATAAACATCGAAATATTGCTCCTTGGTACTAGATGAGTTATGTCATCTATGTTGATATTTTGTGTGATATGGTTGGGGAAAACTGAAAACCATGACCATTCTTTGCTATGCAATCAACATGTTGGGTCAGATTAAGTTTCTGAATTTTCAGAGACTTGTGTTCCTTCAGAAAAAATACCGCGTGAATTACGGTGTGTGTGTGTGTACAAACCTCATTTTTGGACATGTTCGTTGGATTGATCTGTGAAAGTAACTTGACTGCTGAAATGGGTCCAGGAAAAAAGACTTGACTGTTGAATTGGTCCTTCATAACCCCTTTTTTCTGCCACGTCGGTTTCGACATGCCGACTGGCCTAACATCTCTTGACTCATTCCTTGTGGTGCAAAATAGAGGGTCTAAATTAGAATGAACTCTGGCACAAACTTGCTCTAGTAAAAAAAAAAAAACTTTGTTGCTGACTACATTCCATTGTGCTCAACATTGACAACAAAACTTTGTTGCTATTCTATTTGTCATACCAGCTACAGTCCTGTTATTGGTTTTCACCTGGACACCTGAACATCCTTGGATGAATTAAGCCAGTGATGAAAATTTACAAATGATTAAATTGCATTGATCCTCACATGCTTCCTTTTCCATAGAAGGTTGCTGCTCAACGCAATGGAGCCAACCTGCCACAGCAAAAGCCCAGCAACGCTCCTTCTTCCAGCAGCGACCCTGAAGATAATGCAGCACTAGAAGATTGGGCGGCTACTCGGATTCAGAACGCGTTTCGGCGCCACAAGGTAATATCGACAACTCGCCGCAAAAACTTTACTATTTAATCGACCGAATATGTAACATATTGCTTTTCCTAACAAAATCATCTCTTAAATACAGGCAAGGAGGACTCTCCGTTGTCTCAGGGGAGTTAAAAGACTGCGCATTGTTACAGGCTGAGCTAAGAAACCGGCGTGCTTTCATGGTCACTGAAGGGCGCAACAGGAAGAAGAAGCAAGAGAATCAAGTCAAACTTGACGCGAAACTCCAGAATCTGCAGGTAATTCTCTTCCTTGGGCTGACTCTGTTCTGTCATCAGAAAGTTACTCTCATTGGCTAACTTTACTAGAGATAGCAGTAAGAGTTCCTTGACATTTCATTTTGCTCATCCGCATGTTTTTATCAGGTTGCGTGGAATGGAGGCTCGAATACCATGGATGAAATAGTTGCCAGGATACATCTAAGGGAAGAAGCAGCAGTAAAGCGTGAGCGAGCCATGGCCTATGCGTTTAACCATCAGGTTCATACCAGCTACTTAAACTCACATCACATCTCATTATTTTGCAACAGTTCATGCCTAAAGATTGTAACAACTTCTCTATATGTATCTCACTGATATAAACCATATGTTCTGTCCGTTTGCAGTGGAGGGCAAAGTCTGCCACAAGCCAAGGAAACTTCAACTATGGGGTTGGGAACGGTGGCTGGGGCTGGAGCTGGATGGACCGCTGGATCGCCGCACGACCATGGGAGCCCCGATCCATGGTCACCCCTGAAAACACCAAGAAGGGACAATCAAAGAAGGACAACACCAGCACAAACCAGTCAGCTCTGAAGCTGCAAGGCGCAATCAGTCTAAGCAACAACACCAGTGACCGGAAAGTTCCCAAGAACAAGTCATCTCCCTCTCCTGACAAGAAGAAACCGGTAGCGAGAACGGAGCAGAAACCAGTAGCGAAAACAGAGCAGAAACCAAAGGCGGCCGGCCCTCCCAAGGCGAAGCCAAAGGACATGAAGAGGAACCAGGAGAAGCAGCAACAACCCGCGGTGTCTGCGATCACTGCTTGAAACCCGCGGCGAAAAGGTTACCGGACGCTGTATGATACATCCTGTGAAGTTTCTCTTTCTTTTACACTCTTATGCGGTTTGTCTCTTACATTGCTGTTTTATCGGAACAAGAAGTGACCAATGTAGAATGTGTTTGGTTTGCGCGATTGCACACATACCTAATGAGAGTGGTTTTTGGTTAGGACTAGGATCTCTGCTGTGCGCATTGTGTGCGGGTGTGTAATATCTCTGTCTGCTGGGCTAAAATGGTTCTGTTGGAACAAAAATTCGAGTTCCATCTCTGCTCATGACAAAATTTTAACTTCTTGGTTGTAAGTGTGTAACATATTGTTGTAGGTGACCATATATCAGACAAAGGACTGAAGGTGCCGGGGGCATGATTCTGCTGATAAACCTTTGCTAAGCAGCACAAGTCTTCAAATTCAAACTGCGTCTGCTTACATTCTCATATAATCTGATTAAACCAGCTTGCATATACCTAGAGCATTTGGAATTTTCTCTTCTTTCCAGAGTTTGCACGCGCCCGTGATGCACTGACCACAGGGATGAACCACCGTGCAGCTTTGTACTTTCCCGGCGAACCACCGACGGGGCGTTGAAACAGCACCTTCTGCTCCTCCATGGAATACACACCCCAAGTGCTGTGGCTGTCCGAGTGTTCGTCGAGCTCGCGCACAAAGTAGATGCAGTTGCCCCTGCACCCTGGCGTCTCGGATGCGTGCACCGCGAACGATGATTGCTCGCTAACGAACAGCGCCCGGTCATTGGCGAGCCTCTCCACTTTCACCCACCGTGTCACCTTGAGATCCAGCGTGTACACCTCGAAGCCACCGATGGATTTGGGGCATCCGGGTTCTTGTGGTGCGAGCACCAGACCGACGAAGATGACCTCCCCTTCTGACACGAGCAGGTGGGCGTAGGGGATCGGGGAGTACTGCTTGAGAATGCTCGGCGCACCGAGCTTCTTGAGCCCCCATGGCAGCGGCCCACGCCGGTCGACAATGTAGGTGAAGCCGTTGTAATCCATGGCGTAGAAGATGCCATCGGCGTAGGCCACAAAGCCGCCGTAACCCATGAACACTTCGGGCCGGAGGAGCTTCTCCTCGAACCACCGCTCCTCCTCGCACCACAGCAGAGAGATACTCCCAAGACACTCGGTAACGAACAACGCGTTGGCGCCAGCAGCGGCCCTCAGCTGGGGTTCCACCTCAAACCTTCGCCGGGGGCCATACATCTCGATGCTCTGGAGCGTGCCGGTAACGGGGTTGACGAGGACGACGCGGTTTTCCTCCACGAAGGAGAAGTCGCCGGAGGGCAAGGCGCCGGACAACTCTATACCCGTCGCGTGGCTGAACGCGGCGGGCAAGCGGGCGGGCATCACCGGCGCCGGCGACTCCTCTTGGTCGATCGGCAAGGAGAAGATGGCGCCGCGGCGGCGCTGGCTGCTCGAGCAGGTACTGCGTGTGGGCCCGAGCGGGACCTCGAGCGCCAACAGGTGCGGGCTGGGTCTCGCGAGCCGCTCGGAGATGGTCGCCGCCCACGACTTGCAGACGGTGGCGGAGCGCACCGACTCTAGCAGGCTGATGCGGCAGAGGATCTCCTCCGTGAGGTGGAAAGGAAGGCCGCCGATGGTTCCGCTCGCCGCGTCGCCGTCGGCGGGTTCGTGCTGGTCGCCGATCTTGCCGGTCAGGGTTGCTGTGGGTTTGATCGGCTCCATATGGGGGCGTAGACGCGGCGAGGGGGCGGAGAAGAGACCGGGGCCGGAGGCGAGGGAAGTGGTAGGGGATCGGGGAGGTTGGGACTTGGGAGCCAGGGTTTGGAGCGGTGACATCACCTATGTTTTTTCGTTTTTTCTTCACGCTTTTATTTTGGTTTTTGCATGGCTTTTTTCCTATTGTTTATATTTCGAAAAATTGTAAATATGTGTACGAAAAGACACTTTACATTTTTTTTGAAATATGCTAATCATGCATTTGAAAGTGTTAAACATGTATATAAAAATATATTTTTTACGAGTATACTTCCAATCTATTCAACTTCAATCATGGCAGTACAACGAAAACCAGAAATAATAAAAATTACATCCAGATCCGTAGACCACCTAGCGACGACTACAAGCACTGAAGCGAGCCGAAGGCGCGCCGCCATTATCATCCCTCCCTCGCCGGAGCCGGGCAAAACTTGTTGTAGTAGACAGTCGGGAGGTCGTCGTGCTAAGGCCCCATAGGACCAGCGCACCAGAACAGCAACCGCCGCCGTTGAGGAGTAGCGTAGATCGGAAGTGTTAGACTGTATATTGTACGACAACTGTATTTGTACCTGTATTGTACCTCTTGGTACCTTATATAAAGTGATAGGCCACCCACCAGATGCATTGAGCCAGTTTCCACCAAATCATAATTTCAACATGGTATCAGACTAGGTCACGCAAAACCCTAGCCGCCGCTCCCTGTCCTTGGTTGCCGCCGCCGCCCTTCTTCGTTGCCGCGCCGCCACCAAGATCGCCATGAGCTCCTCCTCCGCTGCCCTGTCTGCCACCGCGCCTGTGGCGTCGCCCTTCATCCCGCCGCAGCTTGCCGCGATCCTCGCCGCCAGCACCACCAGCCACATGGCCGCATCTACTACCTCGCGCCCTCTGTACCTTGGATCCTCGCAGTTTGCTCCAGGCTTCTTCCCGTCGCTGCCGTCATCTGCATCGGCGTCGATCGCGTCGTTTGGCGCGGCGCCACCCCCGGCCCCCTCGGCTCCCTCCGCCTCGTCGTCCCTCGGTCTCCCTGAGACCGTGACGCGGCCCGTCCACGACACCGCGGCTGACTTCGTCGCTCCTGCTGGATCCCCGGTTGCCGATGGCCTGGGTCATGGTCCTTACCAGCTTACGCACCTGATCACGGTGCGCCTCACGCAAGATAACTACCTGTACTGGCGGGCGCAGATCCTACCGCTCCTTCGCAGTCGTCATCTCGAAGGCTACGTCGACGGGAGCCTTCTGTGCCCGCCCCGCCTCATCCCTGCGGTCACGGCCGCCGGCGCCCGTGTCTCCGCCGAGAATCCGGCGTACCGCGCCTGGGTTGCACAGGACCAGGCCATCCTGTCCGCGCTTCAGTCCTCCCTGACGGAAGGCGTTGCTGGACTCGTGGTGTTCGCTGCAACATCCCTCGATGTCTGGGCGACAATGGCGGATAGCTTCTCGGCTCACTCCTCGGCTCGCGCGTCGGCCCTTCGTCAACAGCTCCTTGAGTGCAAAAAGCTCGACTCCTCGGCGCACGTCTACTTCAACAAAATCAAGACGATCGCCGACACCCTGTCCGCGATCGGGGAGCCGCTTCGGGATACAGAGTTCACTGACTTCGTTCTTCGGGGTCTCAACCAAGATTACGATAATCTGGTTGAAGCAGTGCGGGGCCATGAGTCGCCTCTGTCCTCACGGGACCTGTATGCGCGTCTCCTCTCCGCCGAGCAACGCATTGACGCTCGGCATGCCGCGATGCAACTGAACGATCCTCAGGCACATGCTGCGTATCGTGGTGCTGCCAATGGTGGCCATCGCCAACCTCGCCCTCCTGCTGGCCCGAACACGGGAGGTGGTGGTCGCCAGCCTCCTCCATCGCCGCAGTCCCGTGGCCCTCCTATCTCCACGGATCGCCGTGGCCGGCCAACGTTGATTGCCAGCTCTGTGGCATCCATGGGCATTATGCCTCAAAGTGCCACCGTCGCTTCAAACGGGACTTTCTTGGCATTGGCAACGACGGGCGCGGCAACGAGAAGCAAGCCGCCATCGCCGAACAGAGTTCCGCCGGCCATCTCAGCGGTACCCATCCCGGCAGTGGTGGGTACACCCCGTCGTATCCAATCGACCCCGCCTGGTACTTCGACACGGGTGCCACGGAGCACATGACCAATGAGGCTGGTCATCTTCAGGCGCAGGAGCCCAACCGTGGCCGTGATAAGGTCCGCACTGCTGATGGTTCAGGTATGCCCATTACTCATGTTGGTCAGGCATCCCTCTTGTCTAGTTCCTCTCGTCGTCTTCGCCTTCGTAATGTCCTTCATGTTCCACATGTCACTCGTCCATTACTATCTGTTCGTAAGTTTACTTATGATAATGATGTGTTTTGTGAATTTCATCCGTTTCATCTCTTCGTTAAGGATCGAGCCACACGGGAGGTTCTGCTTAGAGGTCGCATCCATCAGGGCATGTATGCGTTGGAGGCGCCATCTCTTCCGGAGGCCTTCACCGCCGTTCGCACGTCGACGTCTCATTGGCATGCTCGGCTTGGGCATCCTGCGTCTCCCATAGTTAGTCATGTTTTGCATCGACATGAACTTCCTACGTCGTCTAGTTCCAAAGATTTGTCAGTTTGTGATGCTTGTCAACAAGGGAAAAGTCATCAGTTACCGTTTGTGTCTTCATCTCGAGTTGTTACTACTCCATTAGAACTTGTGTTTTCGGACGTATGGGGCCCTGCCCAAACATCTTTCAGTGGTCATAAATATTATGTCAGTTTCATTGATGCCTACAGTCGCTTTACGTGGCTTTATCTTCTCAAAAGCAAAGCTGATGTGTTTAATGTGTTTTTACAATTTCAATTGCATGTTGAGAGACTCCTACAACATAAGATCATTCATGTTCAGTCTGATTGGGTGGGTGAATACCGCAACCTCAATTCATTCTTTAATAAGCTTGGGATATCTCATCGTGTTTCTTGCCCACATACACATCAGCAGAATGGTACCGTTGAGCGCAAGCATCGTCACATAGTTGAAGCTGGCCTTACACTTCTTGCTCATGCCTCCGTATCGTTCCAGTTTTGGAGTGATGCTTTTACCACTGCTTGTTTCTTGATTAATCGAACTCCTACTCGAGTATTAAAAATGAAGACACCACTTGAACTGTTGTTTAATGAACTTCCTGACTATACTTTCCTCAAAGTTTTTGGCTGTGCTTGTTGGCTGCACCTTGGGCCCTACAACAGTCGCAAGCTTGAGTTTCGCTCCAAAAA